GCACCCTGCTTCCATATTATTAGCTGTGCATACACTTTAAACACAATGAACTCAGTGCTGCGTCTTATTTAGTTATTTTTACCCTCCTAAGTAGCATCAATTTTTTCTAGTTGAATACAAATCTCTTCAATTTTTATTTGTAATAGACAGGTTACCCTACTCACTGGGTTCATCGACACTGTTCTACTGTAAACTGGTTGATTAGAATGCACTCTACGTTCTTGGGCACAACTTTATCAACAATAACAACTGTGTGAGTTTCATATTGCCTATTATCAGTTATACTGTTCTCACTTATACTCTATTGACCTACCATTGATCCCTTAGTGTTATCTATTGCTTCACTGTTTGATACTCTTTAAATCTCCTGCTTGGCTAGTTAAGTACGTCCCCTCCCACTAAATTCTAAATGCTTATATCTTGATTGAAAATCCATACTATTTCTCCATAACAGTTGACTGTATTGTACTGATACCTAACCAATAGTTCATAAGTTGTAACAGCCAGAAAAGCGTGTAAAAGGAACTAACAGAAATAGTGTTTCTCAACAGGATGTGAGACATAGAGCACAAAGCAGAACACAAAATAGTTTGTTTTAAACAATTAACGTGAGCCCAACAACACAAAAGGAGGGATGGTGGAGTTACTGACCAGCAAATATTGATGGTGTGGGCGATGACTTCAAACCACCCATGTTTGTGCGGCAGAACATTTTGTTTGCTTTCGGCTCTTTTGATTCATGAGGCGACTAATCAGTAACACTGAAGTTTCTCTTATACGCTTGCAGCTTCTGAGGTCGCTATCCTGTCGATACACCTGCAACATTCTTACTCAGGCGCTTAAGGTATGACTTAGAGGTTGGCATTCAATAATAATTATAAAACATTTAGACAGTGAGAACTTTTAATTATCCATATTTTTTTTACAAACTCTACTCTTTCAACTGAAATTTCGATTTCAACGTACATAATTCCAACTTCTTACTTCAACTTCTCTTCTATCCACTTGACACTGCACAACTCTTCCTTTTTCACTGCTGTACTCCTTAATATGTATTGACTACCTCAACATGACAGGTTACGTGTTGCTTTGGTTATATATATACTCTTGCCACGCTGCTGCCTTTTTCTCTCTCTCTCATTTCTCCCCTTTCAGAACCGCATCCACGGTAGGAAATCCTTGGCGCCTCTAGGGAACATGCACCTTAGGTACATGACTGTCTGGATCGCAGCTCGTATCAAGAGCGTTCCGAATGACCTTTTCCAACAAATTCACTATTGATCTCGGCAAATCGACAAAAGAACATACTGTGCACCCGCCTCTCCTATTGAAAACGTGGCTGTATTATACTGTTTCTGTCAGTGACATGGTGTAAATGTGCTATCAGAAACTGACTCTTATACTTAATTTAACTGCGATAACTTTTACAGTAAATGTGAAAGCATTTGTGACAATTTCATCTAGCCTGTAAACTGGCGTGACTCTCGTAACCTCATTATTTGAGAATAATTATTATTATTACATTTTCATTTAAATTCTAAATAGCTGGTCTTGCGCAATAACAACTTTGTTGACTATAGTTTATTGATTACTTATCGTCATAACCCACAGGGAAGAATTAATACAGCTACTGAACATAGGACGAAAGTCGCCACCTGGCTAAAATTGTCTCTTTGTTGTTACGATTTGAGTGTCTGAATTGATGATAGGTACATAGTTACTTAGTACCAAGTTTGTTTGTATATGGATTTGGATGTTCTGTATACTTTGGAAAGAACATTTCTATGGTTGTAATTATTGTACATTGTTTTATTTTCATGCAGGAATGAAAATGTATTACATTTGATTATTTTAAAATACCAAAACTATTACAGGTAAATGGGGATTAGTTTTTATCTACATGCTCCTAGTAGCAGTGGTGCACCATATATCCCAAATACGGTTCCCATCAACCTAAACATTCTTTATGAACAGCGTTAGCTGGTTGCACGGACTGGGAATGTAATAACTTAAAATATAAAGTGGATGTTTGATAAATTTGCTTACAGACTGACTGTGAATAACTTTTACATTTTCCAGCACATGAGTAGCAACTCAGTTTTCCTGTAATACTTACGAATCCGACTGTGTTTTCAGAAGTCTCTGTAGCAATCAAAGAACACCGAGTATCAACAAGCAACCTTACTATAAGAAATGCAACTAACATGAATAAAGTCTGTCATATTTAAGTCCTATATCTTTTTAAAGGTCATTTTAAAACCACTTATTCACCGATTATCAAATATTGTCACAATTTTATGCTGATAGAGAATTAACTATCTTAGATAATAAAAATGCTTGCTGCGTGGAACAACAGTCAGCTCAAAAGTCTGATCATAGATTAGAATAACTTAGGACTAACTTTATGCAATATGTTAAATATTATGTAAAATAAACAAGTAACGAAAAATTAACTGTTATTTCTCGTACTTTCAGCAACACGGAAAGGTAGATCATTTTACTAACGATTTCAAGTGTTTATAATGGTTTCACCTCGAGTCACCGTTTTTAGTGTTTACGCATACACTCCAATACTCTATAGTCAATAATATACACACCTAAACCATTGTTACGTCCAATTTTTTGCTCTTTCATCCTTAGAAGCACTTTGTGTCGATCTATTTGCAATTCACGATCCCAAGGATTAAACCGAAAGGAAATTCCAAAGTAGGTAACAAAGTTTATTGCCAATTCACAAATAATCGACCAAAATGTGTTTGTTTATTACAAGTAGACGACCAATGTCGTTCTAACAACAATAATTATAATAATTACAATTACCTTCTATTTTATAGATTTCTGGAGCAAAAAACTGCAAACGAACAACCAAGAGAAACAGGAGTCCAAAATGGCCGAAAATAATAATTCAAACAAGTTCATAAGATAAGTAAAACAAATGTACCCAAAAAACACAGTGAAATTAATGATATTTATATATAAAGGTTTTGATCAGCAAACTGTCTTCATTTCTCCCGTAACAACCATTCTTAAAAACTAATCACTTGTTCATCAAGTTACCTTATGTTACAAGCTGCTGGTGCATGCTGAAGGTAATACAATAAGCCATTCCTAGTAATTTCACTCACAATTACAATCATTCACAACCTAATAATAGAACTGGGACAACAGATATACATCCTTGAATACATCAAGCCTTTTAGATAAGAGCGTTAATCGGTAATATACATCATTCCAAAGAATCTGTTAGTCTGGCATATGATTTTATCTGCACCATCACTTAGACGTAACATTCAAAAAGTAAACACAAAAGAATATCAGTTCGAAAACTTTTGTCCTGCATTAATAGTTTATTAGCACTTGTTGTGTTGGAGAGCAAGAACAAAACTAGAATCTCATAAAATTCGTTAATTAATTACACTCTCATACATATACCGAGCGTGAACTACAATAGTGTGCATATATTCATCTCAGCGCAGGTCAAATGAAACACGACTCTGTTACAATTAACCAGCAGTTGGCTGACAGTATGTGAACAGTTGGTGTTACCTTAGGTTCAGTACTCTCTAAAGCAAGAAATATTTGTGAATGTGACTTTCTCATTCAATTTTCTGGTGACACTAATTTAATAAACCGACAATATTTTTGGGATAACAGTATTCAGGCGCATAACAGGTAGATTCCATAGTCCATCTGAATAAATATTACACTCGATACTTACTGAGAAAAATTTACTAGCCTTTTCGTTTAGTCTGTATGCTGAAGAAATAAAGGGCGGATATCCAGGAGTAACATAAGTTCCTAGCATAGTAACTAGCGCTAAGAAAAATAAGTACGCAGTTGTATTTAGCTGACATCCCACGTGATCCGCCGATATCAATGTAATTTCAGAGATCAGGACCATTAGAAAAAGTTCTCCGACATTGAATATCTACGAGCAACTTCGCTACTGATTAACGACAATCATTGACTTCGACTTGATAGAAAATTCTTAATGTAAGCAAATCCATACACTAAAAAATTATGAACCTGATGATATCATCATCGTACAATTTGGTTCGGCCATGAAAAAGGTTTTGGAAAGCATCTCATTTACATCAAACAAACTATTGACGGGTAAACCAGCTCTACCGCTTATCTCTAATGATGAGCTGATAAACGTCGGAAATAGAAAACCCTGTTCATCGATCGCCAAACATGTAACTGAGACAGGGCATAAGGCTGACATCACGACAGCCTTCAAAATATTGTAAAGAAATAACGAAGGACAAATGTAGAGGTTTATGGAAGCCTGCGCTATTCGTTAATTAAAACCACGCTTATATGTACTGAAAAATTTTGTTTTAACCGTGAATTTACCCCGGTAATATTTAAACCTAGGGTAAAGTGACAGTTTCATACCCTTTTCTTTTCTTTTCTTTTCCTATACGAGTGCCAAATGGCAAGCAGACGAATGAGTGAGTTAGCGAATGAATGAATAGGAATAAAATACACATATATATACATGGGAAAATGGATAGGTTTTCGAAATGTTTAAGAGGCTAACATTGATTTTCAAACATCATATTCCCCATCCTGTTTGCTTTAAAGGAAGTGTGAATGAACGGCAAGAATTAAGTAATAACGAGGTTCCGGTTTATCAGCAACTTTGTGAAGGTCTAAATCAGCTGCCCTTTTATTGATATACTAAGTCCTTATTTCCCTTACAATGAGTCACGTACAAAGGAGCCAATATTTTGCAAACGTTCAACCTAATTGTAATATGCAGAATGTCCTTGAAAAAATCCTTTTGCTTTCAAAAAATTCTGCTATAGCTGTGCTACCTAAATCATGTTTATTTCAATGTAACGTTCAACAGAAGTTACGAAAACGTAGGCGTCACTTACTGTTGCTTTCATATGCTACTGAATATTGAAATTTACAATAAAGTTTTACTGAATAGCAATACTAAAGCATTCCTTATTATCTGCATTGTCTTGATATCTGCTTGTTTTAATCGGTCTTTTGGCTCAGTTTCTGTTTCACTTCGGTGGTCAGTCGGTGGGATGTCGTCCATCGTTTATTTTAAGTTCAAAGCCAATGTGAAAACAGATTCTGTCTCGTTTGATGGGTCTTCTATTTCCGTAAAGGATCTTAAAAGCGCTATTCGAACAAAGTGTTGTTTGTATTCAACAGATTTTGACCTCAAACTTGAAGATACGACTGGAAAAGGTAACAATGCCTTTATGTTCAACTTGCTTTAGTCTATTCCAAAGACGATGAATTGATTCCAAAATACTCTAGCATTGTGGTGCGACGTGTTCCTCGTTTGGTTGCGGAAATTCAGAAGAAAAAACAATTGTAAGTGTTGGCAATGTTATTCATTGTTTAACTATTACAGGGGTCCAGATGAATTAACCTGGCGAGAATTGCAAAAGAATGTGAGTTGTTTGCTTAGTTTCACTTGTGTTTTGGTTTGTCAGTCTCACACTAGCTTATACAACTGTTTCATCATCCTCACGAGACATTTGGCGAGTCTGCCTGTTCCACAATAGTCTTAGGCATAAATATATAGTTAGTTGACTACCATTTAAGTAGTCAGATTTAGTTAGCCGTTAGGTGTATCAGTTCACCAGTGTGATTTCAGTTCTAGAGACTCCCTGTTTTTTGGCTAACAGTTAAATCATCAGAGGCCAGCCAATCTTGGGTTATAGATCTAGTCACAGTTTTTATGTAGATTTCTAAGTTCTGTAAGGTTGTAAGTTAATGTAACTAGCTGACAAACCTGTTCTAATTGGATAGTGTTTCGCTCGCAAAAGTCTCGGCGTCAGCTGGTAAGAAGTTGGACTGGTTGCCTCGAGTCAAGCTAATCTATCCAACTCTTCCTAAAATCCTTAACTATAAACACTGGTTTACATTTTCATTCTTTTGATGTAATGTAAATTTCAAATAAAATATTGGTGTTAGTATTTCCATTGTTATATTGTAATATTTTGCGATTAGAAACGTTCCTATATGGCAATATTTCGTTGAGTCATATTAGTAACATTCACTCGTAAATCGGATAGATTGAGGAACATCCTGAAGAGCAGTGGCCTGTTTTCTGCCATTTCACTTTTCAGAATCGATGCATAGTCTGGTAGTGTTGTTTTCTCATCTCAACAACTCAAGCTGACGTACGTCTTCCGGTTTTCACGTTAGTAGTGACTGGTCCTAATGTTTCAGACGTATATAATTGTGCAGATTTTAGGTTTTTGTTAACCTGTGCCTATCATGACATTACTAATGAACAGTAACCCGTTTGAGGTGTCAGTTTGTGATGGTACATATTTTTTAGTTTTCTTTGAATGTCTTATGTATAACATTCATACACTTGTTTCCAAGATCCTTTTTCAATGTAGTAGATGCATCAATTGTTTCCCATAATTCTGAGCTCCAGAATTCATGACTTTTTCCATGTTATTGGTTTATGTGTTTACTAAAATCATGTCTTCGTTCCCTTCACGATTACCGCTGATACTGCTACCATGGGATTTGAACTAAGAAATTTATCTCTTCTAATTTGGTATGACAACCTAAACCGATGTGCATGCGTACCAAGTTCCATGTTGCAACTGAATGACTGACACCTTATGTATATCCTGTAGCACAATTTGGCATCTCAGTAGTCATTCCAGGGCTTGTATATTTTCACTTTTCTCAACTCGTGTGTATTTGCGGTTCATCATAACATGTTCGTAACTTTCCCATTACATGATATAGTGTCTACGAAACGATGTGATTTGCTATTCCGAAATTTTGCCACTTCCTGTGTAAAGAGGTCAAATTAAGTTCGTTATACACCTAAGTTTACGCGCATGTAAGTTATACGGTTGTTGATACTTGATTCCCAGGTTGAACTGCCGGGTTGAAAAGTGAGCCTATGTTTATTGTGTAGACGTAGTCTCAGTATATTTTACTTTTATAGACAAGTTTTTCGTATCATGTTCATAAGCCGATAATGGGTTTAAGGTAATATAGGTAAATGAATAATGCTTCCGCTTAACACAGTGGTCCCACTTATTGTCAGAAATGTATAGGTTGTTGACATGTTGATCACAAACCACAAACAATTTGTCTTGTATGGGGAATTAGGAGGAAAGCTAGATTGATATTGAAGGTCTTATCGGCTCAGTTGTTCTTCTGTTTAGCCTAAGCTGCACATTTTAACGAACAAGGGACGCGAAAAGTGATATCTATAATTTCAAAATAGTTTAGAATTAAGATTGGATGTTAGGATTTAGGGTTTCATCACAAACTGGCATCAGCTATATTTCGGGGATCCTAAAATTGTCTTATCCCAGTTGCCGGCTCAATAGATCATTCTCTTGTCCTTACTCATTGACTAAAGCAACTGACACCATGATTGTTAGCTGGATAACTACAAGGCCCAGAGGGTGAACATTTCAGTCACGCTCCTGGGAATTAACTTTTTGGTCTCAGTTCAAAGCAACGGTGTAATCGGTGTTTCAAAAGCTAGCTTATCATTTGCTTTTGTCTCTAGAGAGGCTTCATCCCTACACAGGCTGGTTGTCCTTAAGAAGAGCGATGTAGTACAGTTGGCATGAAATTTCAGTTCGAGGTCACTTTTTCTGAACTATCCTGCAAACCCCTCTAGTATCGTAGGACTTTCAAAGTCAGTAAGTAGTGGTTCTGCTGGTCGTTGCACCTTAGCGCTCAACACCCGAAAGAAGAGTATTGATAAGTTATTATGTGGCACGAAACTAGTTTTAATTCTATTAGGAGGCTCGTTATAACTCAAGTTTTATGATGCAATATTGAATATAAAGTAACTGGTTCAGTATACCCTGAAGTTTTGTGTAATAGTAGATGGGCGAGTAGCTAACAAAGAAATAGGAGCACTGTACAATGGAATTTAGTCTTTACTGCTATGTATGTTGGATGAAAAAACGCATCGTATTGACCTATTCAGACATCCTATCGTACAATATTAACTTCGTTACGATTCGGTATAACGCCGGACAGACAAAATGTCTGAACAAGATCGTTTGTATTGGTTGACATAGTCATCTTTAGACCCAGATCAGATTGCCACAAAGCTGAATGTGTGGCGTCACATAAACAGAATACTGGCCGTGGTTCAATCTGGCTGAATCGAAATGTGTAAATGTGATGTCTGTGTTATTATGTTATGCTGTCGATGATCACTTCACTAACTGATTAGCCGATATGATATTGTGAGTCTATTTCTTTAGGTTTCAAATCCCGTCCTGTATATGCCATTCATTCAGGAATATGTTACTTTTAGGTTGGTCAAAGTCGTTGTTCTTCATATCTCTTCAATCAAAAACTTCTCAAGCAGGAAAGTAAAATGTCGGTGGTGAAGTCAGCAATGGTAAAGGGTTTTAGAGAAGTAAGATAATTTCGACATCGGGTAAATGTTCGAGTAGGAAGGCACTACTGTGGCAGCACTCAAAATTTGTAGCATGATCAGTACCTTCCTTACCTAACCACAGTATGTTATGTTCAAAGGTGACTGGTCTCTGGATATTGCGTTAATTAGTGGGTATTCGACATATAAATCGTACACACGGTAGAAATCAGCGTTCAGTGATGGCTGACTACGCTAAAAACGACTACAGTCTTGCTACCATTCCGATTCATGATGTGTATCCTTTTTAGTAGGATATTGATTGAAGCAAAGCATCTTAAACTGCTTTCGGTTGGTGACTGAGTATACGGAGCACTTTTCCCATTGCGGACACCGTTTGCTTTACCAAAGTAACCCTAATAGCATTATTCACCGACATTTTATGGGATCGTATAGTTGGGAGTTAATAGTATGCCATCTGAAGAGTCTTCACAGTTCTGCTAGAACACACCTGATGAGCATATTGTTAGTTATCCTGCGTCGGATTTTCTAAAAATTTGGTACTACGTTTTTAACCTCACTTAATATCAGTACATACCCTTCATTTGTTACCCAAAGACAGGCTTGGCAGCAGTCAGTCACAATCGCCCTCATCCTAAGTAGCCATAACAGCAATCCGAGACGAAATAGATCAGATGAATGTCATGAGCTGGTATAGTAATACTAATGATTAGAAACGCTAGACCAAAGAATATTGAGAAAATTATTTCGAAAAATGAAGATGCATAAAACAATATTGAAGCTTCAAACTTGACAGAGGTGATTACTCCTGTGCGCCTCCAATCAGTTCTGTTTTGTCATATAGCATCCTAGTTGTGAATAGGGGGGGTCTTCAGGTGTGCTGAAAGTATGAGGGTAGTTGTCAATACACGGTTGCCCACACCGTACAGAAATGTTTCTCTAGGAACCTTGAGGGGAAGCTGGACTACCGGTGCTCCTATTGACTTCCGGTCGCTACTAGGACCCTCGAGGTGCTACTGTTAGAGGTTAGTCATATGCGGCCCTTTCGTGGGAACGTAACGACGTGTCTGCCCTGTATTTCAAAGGGCTCTACCGCCGACGACTTGAGTCCATAGGGTAAGTTGTGTAACACCTTTGGATCCGGCCTCTAAGTCCCATCTATTCTAAGAAGGAATCGCTGCAGATACAAGTTTTCTTATAAACACTCCGTTACAGAATTCGCTCTCGTGCAATGAGCATTCTGTCTCTAGCATCACCATTCGTCACAACCAATCTGTCTGGCATATTAAGGCTTAAAGGAACAAGTTAACCAACTGATGCTGCTCAGCTGGGTCATCGTGAGCGGTAAATCTGACCACTACATTAAAGTAGCAGCTGTAGATAGGAAGAGTATATTGCGCGGCATTTTCGCTCTATTGAATGTTTGTGAAACATGTGGGATAATTGTGGGTTGCCAGTATCCGATCATTGATGTCTTAAAATCACAGGTCGTGTATTTTGGGATCACCAGGTCAGTCAGTTACAACGTAGGACTTCGTACGTACATCAGTTCAAGTTGCCATATCACGATAGCACAGAGAAGCAATTGTCGATTCAAATTCCATAGTGGTGGAGGTAGTAGAAGTCTAAGAAGCAATCAGAAAGACCACGGTCTAAAGATATTATTCAAGAAGTATTGTCTAGTTAAATAGATTTGAGACAGGAAAGCTAAAGGTCATGAGGGGTTAAGATTAGAATTTGGGAGAACACAAAGAATGGATGCTCCTGCACCATTGCAAACGACTTTAAGCCATATCATTTAAGGGGTCACCCGGTTAATAGTTCCAGCGTTAGACGGAGTACCAATTTAGGTTGGCAGACAGATGGATGGTGTAGTGAGCCTTCATTCACTGAGACCGTTAGGTTTGTGTGTGCCCATCCACCGACTGCTTCGAAGCATGGTAATAGCTGGTGTTGAAGTAGGCTAGAGGGAATTTCGGGGCATCCGAAACATACCATCAGTCCATGTAAACATTGGCCGTTTAATTGAACCAAACTGCTACATTTAAGTTTGTTCACTTACTGTAACATGTAGTTAGAGATGTTGAGTAGCATGGCTCAGAATTGTTCACAATGACCTAGAGGTGTTCGGTTTTTGTATTCTCTCAAATCCTAGGTTTTAAAATGCCTCATTATTTTTATCTCACTACTTACGCCTGTTAGCCCTCATTGAGTGTAGCCCGCCGACCAGCATTTTCTGATCTCTTTCTTGAGCCTTCTCAGCTCTACCCAGTTGCTGTTCATTCTTCCCATGTATGTCCGATTCTCAGCGCATTGTTTTCCGTCGTCTACCTCTTCCTTTGAGCTTGAGGGATCCGAGTTAGGACTTGCTTTGTGATGCAATTGGGTGATTTTCACAATGTGTCCTATTCACCATCTGTTTCTCCTGATTTCTTTCTGGTTTGTTCTCTGCCTCAGTAGGTTGTTGTTAATGGTGTATGGCCAACGGTTGAGGAGTAATCTCTCTTAGATAGCTTGTGGATGATGGCTTTCGTGGTTCTCCTAATTTCCCGCTCCATACAGCAGAACTGTCTTGACTTTTGTATTGAAAATTGTGACTTTGGTCTTGGTTATCAGATGTTTTGGGCTGTGAAACATGGCCAGTGAGAGTAGAAGATATTCGTAGGTTACTGGTTTTCGATCGTAGGTGTCTTCGTAGCATCGCTCGTATATCCTGGGACTACCGAGTGAGCAATGCTGGTATTAGGAAACGGGTGCTAGGTAAGGATGACATGCCAATAGATAAAGTAGTGAAACTACATCAGTCGAGGTGGTTGGGGCATGTGCTGCGTATGCCTAACCACCGACTGCCTCGACGAGCTATATTTTGTAGTATAGGAGTAGGTTGGAAGAAAGCTAGGGGCGGCCGGACCAAAACGTGGCACAAATCCATGAAGTCATTGACGAGTGGACTGAGTCATTTCGGTAGGTGTCGACTACTTGGTTGGGGTCCACGAGATATTAATAATCGATGGTTAGAGACCCTGGCTGACATGGCTCAAAGCCGTTTGCAATGGCGCAAGTGCATTCATTCTTTGTGTTCTCTCAAATCCTATACTTATTAATTTTTTATCCTTCTAAGTCTATTTCACTTGATTCAACTTATTGACTAATATCTTCTAATCCTAACCTCTCCGACCACTGCTAATACCTCTACTACTGTTGGATTTGAATTTAAAATTATATCTCTGTGCTAACGTGGTATGGCATCATGAACTGATATACGTACGTACGAAGTTCTACGTTGCTACTGATTGATTGTTTTGAGTTACAGATATTCAGTTTTAGAAATGCTGTCTAGGCTTTGCCAATACTAACCTTCAAGTCTGCTTTAGACCCACCTTGCTTACAAATGGAGCTGTCCAGATATGTAAAGGTTTCTGCATCTTCAAAAGCTCCTTTATCATGTGTTATCTGGCTGGTACATGCTGTGTTGCATCTCAGGATCTTGCTTTTTCCTTTGTGTATGTTGAGACCTTCTGCGGATACTGCTGCTACACTGGCCGTCTTCATCTGCTTCTGTGGATAGAAGAGCTAGGTCATCTTTGGATTCTAAATCGTCTCGTTGCATCTGAGGTGTCGATTGTATTCCGTGATTCGTTTTAGATGTTGACGTTTTCATAATCCAGTCAACCACCTCAAGAAGGAGAAAGGGTGGGAGTAAGCAACCTTGTCTGACACCTGTCTTCACAAGTTTGTAAAGTGTCCTCCATGTACGATGTTGCAGTGTAGTCCATCATAAAAATTCCGTATAATGTTTACTCCTCAGGCACACCATTCTGTCATCCTTTCCACGTTTTCAGATGGTGTATCGTAGTCAAGGAAGTTTACATAGAGTAGAGTAGAGTAGTTTGCTCTGACTATTTCATCTTTGCTAAATGAGTATGACAGTTTGAACCGATGTACACATATGTCGGATGCAATGCGGTAAATAACCAACTAATCATGGTTATGTGAATTCTAACCATTTTCATCTTAATCTGCTGACACTGCTCAATCCAACATTACTGAATTCACGGACTAACGCTGTGTTTTGGGTTAACATTGTAGTTTTCTCCAAAATGCCTATTCAGCTATAGCTGCATATCAGGGTAGGTGGTCAAACTACGTAATACGTATCCCAGCCACCCCACTTGGTGAAGGCTGCCAACCTATTAATCAATTTAACCAGTACTTAACGCCTAATTTCGTTTAGTACAAAACTTTCTGTGGCATATTTCTCAAGCAGACTAGCGAATATACGTATGTAATATAGAGATTAGTAAAGTTCGTGGTTGTTCATTTTGTCTATTTAATCCTTTTTCACTACTTTTCTTGGTACGCTAAGACACGCACATCATAGTAATAATATAGGTATATAGGGTATTTCAGTTCCCAAGTTCCTCTAATGATCTTGATGAATATCCTAAAATCTAGATGTAAGTCTGAAATCTTTTCAAGCGAAAAGATAGTGTTAAGTAACTTGAAAGGTTTCACTGACGTTTTGTCGGGTATATCATATTACTTAGAAACCGGTTTCCCTTAACAGTTAGCTTCACTCCGGATGCTTTCATATTAACAAGTCTTTTAAACTGTCCATTTACAGCCATGGGACCGTAGACGGGTTCCTAAACATAAAATGTATGTCAAAAGTTGTTCCTGTACCTACTCTATTAGTTTTTTACTTCTGTTAATTTCTTACTGTTTTACAGCATACTGCTGCATCCGAAACTGCCAATGGTTCCAAAGTATGTTTCCATACTCATGTTTATCTTGTTAGTTTGTCAATTTAGCGGATTCTGACCTTCCTGAAGAAGAAAAAATTAGACTAATGATGGAGAGATCATCGGAGACATACTCAGAGACAAAGTAATCAATTGTAGTCTGCTAAACCCATTTTAGTTTTACTGTGCGGGCCAAACCATATGGAGTTCCTCCGGCTGCTTATGTCTGTCATAAATGTAATCAGCCGGGGCATTGGATTCACAACTGTCCTGGGGTGCGTGATAAGAGTGGGAAAGTAATGGATGCAAAGTCAGTCAAAAGACCGACAGGTATCCCACAGGATTTTCTTCTCGAAGTTGCAGCTGGAACTCCAGGTGCATATTTAGGAAAATCCGGAAAGTACATGGTGCCTATCAAAGACGCGTAAGTCAATTGTTCTTTTAATGAAAATGTAATTTAGAGAGGCATATGCACAAGGCAAGAAGGATAAACGACCGTTTTCGATTGAAGAAAATCCTCCTTATGTCCCTCAAGAAAGAAATCCTCCAAAGCAACTTGTATGCCCGTTGTGCAATAAGCTATTCAGTGACGCAGTTTTAGTATCCTGTTGTGGAACAACCTATTGTAACGAATGCATCATGGGTCATGTTTTCGATTCCCAAGTTTTGGGTTCTCATAAGTGTCCTAACTGTGATGCGGTTTTGGCAGACCACGAGTCAAGTGTATTTGAGAATGCTCTTGTGCGAAGTTTGATTCGTGATTGGCTTGCTGATGAATCCAAAATCATGGACCCAGAAGTAGTTATCCCTGGAGATATACCTAAGATCAATGAAAACGATACAGTAAGATCTTTTTATGTTTAATCTTCCCGTACTTTTAGACATTCGTTAACCGTCGTCGCGTACTGAAACCAAAACAAGCAATGGCCACCATCCCTCCTGTCAAACTTGGAAGCACAACTGCTCTGGAATCAAATCAGGTTCAGAACTCACTGAAGATGCAGCCAGTTGTTTCAAAATCTAATTCTACTATTAAAAATGAACATACTGATGTACTTTTAAACTTACCCTCTGAAACACCCCAAAGCACAAACTCTGTGACATTTTCTACTCTTTCATCTTTTGATTATGTTCGTGTTTCTGAAATGACTTCTGTTGTAACGAACAATACAAATGCTACTGTGGTCACAAGTTCTCCTTGTACCACTGTGGTGGGAAATGATGGACAAAATCTGTTACCCATTGCTTGTCTTTCAAACACACAAATTCCTTGTTTGAGTTATGCTAGTTCAGCTGCTGTAATGCCTACTTTACTCCCAGTTGTTAATGGTGGTGGTAATCCCCTTCTTAATGCGCTTTATAGTATACGGTTAGATGACTTACAGGCTCCATTGGTTGCTCCCTCTACCATTTTACCAACCAATTACGGATCACTCGTTGGCAATCCTGAATGGACAGCTGAGACAGCTTTGGCTGCACCAGCAGCCCAGAGTGCAGGTCTAGTTGATCCAGTAATACAAGTCAATAATAACCAGGTCGCCTTTGGGCTAATCCCTGGGCAGTCTATCCCTGGTACGATGCATACAACTTTATCCGCACCTGTTGAAACACTTAATGGACACAAAATGCTTTCAAAAGAAGAGTTCTATCGGTTGAAAATGGAAGTTCTCCATTCAGCTCGTAGAAGGTAAACCAATTTAAATCTGCTCAAATGCGATCGTTTATTTGTTTAGGTTGTTATGACGCCCTATTTCTTTAACAGTTAAGTCTCTTAACTCCAGTCTTCATCAGTTCGATTAAATCAGGTTTTGTAACAAGACTTTCCTTTTATAAGTGATCAAAGTGCCGATTCGCTTCTGAATGGATTTATAGTTTAAATCGTCAGATTATAGTGTCAAATCTATGAATATGAGTTTAACAGTGACAAACGTCTATCGCTTCTCGGACTTCTGTTTAAGTCATTATTTTGTTCGGAACAGGATTAGTTCCCAGCAATCTGGTCTGGCGGAGGGTAAATAGTTGTTCTGAATGTAAGATAGTCAATACAATGACTAAAAATATAGTCCCATAAGAAGATAAGTGCGGGCTTCAACTTATTATCATTTTATTGACCGGAACATATCAAACGATATGGTGATGGGCTCGAGACGTAGTCTTCCACATGCGAAGTAGGTATGCGAATCAGCAGTTATTTATAAATGTAAGGGCCACGCGGTGATGTCTGTGAATTCCCTGTCTCCCAGATTAGAAATTATGCTTTTCAGGACATGATTAAGGCACTTTCTTTACGCTCAGTCCAAATGATATTGGAATATTTCGTTTTTCAAAGTCTGTGTTACTGCTTAATAATAACTCTCATCCTGTACCATTTGAATGTTGCTCACTTTTTTGATTTTACTACTTTGTATGTATGGGCTGCTGTTTGTTTGCTTGCTTGCCTTCGTTTCCATTTCTCTAGTAATATGTTTATATGTACATGCTGCTGTCTTGTTTTACTATAACATGCTTTCCTCTACATACCGACGGGTCCGCCTAGCAGTGTGGTTGCCTTTTCTCCACGTTACATAGTATCTTATTAACAAATTTGATTTATAGGCATCGTCATCGTACTCATTCACGTAGTCCTGGGTATGTTCATCGGGCCGAACGACTTCATGGAGATTCTCCGCGCCATCGACGTTACGAGAGAGAAGATCGAGAAAGACGGTCTCGATACTTTTCACCTGTTAACTGCGAAAGCGAACGCAGTCGATGCCGACACCGTTACGCTGATGAATATGAATCTCATCGTGACAGAAGTGGAACTCATCGTCATTACCATCGCCCTGCTTTTCTTCAAGATATTGACGATCGGAGACGTTACTATTCACGCGGCCATCCACACAGTCCCGAATACCGATCCAGGCGGTCGCCGAAACATTCTCTGTCAAATAAAGATGATTGGTTTGGGTACACCGGTCGGGGCGATAGTCTGTCTCCTATCACACACGAATCCTCAGATCCACGTAGATGTCGCGAACCACATGTTGGTGGTGGACACTATGATGAAGTCCTCAGTAGACGTAAAAGAAGGTAAGTTGTGTTTTACGTCTTCATAGATTAGTCCTTAACTACTGTACTAAAACAGCTATTTTTGAAAACTTGTTCCATGTGTTTGTGAAGAATTGTCCTGGGTAATACCATGCCAAAATGTTATGAAAGCTTGAGTTTTTCGGGCGATCAAACTATGAAACTCGATCAGTCCACAAAACCGTTAATTTTGATGCTGATTCATGTTATGTGTAGCAGACTACGTGGTAAGAAGACCTGATTAGTGGTTGAAAATCTTGAGAGTGGCGTAGTTGAAATCGAAGGGTGTCCAAATCAAAACTTGATGTTAGCCTACAAAGTCACTAACTATTAGTTTGTGTCTTGCGGATTGACGTAAGTAGCCTGATTGCAGTCCGCCTGCTACAATTATTAAACCATATACCTGGGAAAACAGGAAGTATCCATTGTATCAGTACCACTAAATGCTGCTCAGATCACCTTGTTTACTACTAAATCCATTCATCATTTTTCAACATTGTTACTGTAGCCACGACTGACTTCCGATACCTATATGGAGTCGTGGTGTAGTAATGCAGACCACCGAAATCCGGTCGCCAAGTCTGGATTTCGGGCTAGACTCCCCCTACTTCAGTCTGGGAGACTGGATAGTTTCACTGGTCCTCACACTTCAAGAATAGTATCTTATAACCCTAACCTCTCCGATTACTTCTAATTCCCTTACTACCTCTACTACTATTGGATTTGAATGGACAATTATATCTCTGTGCTGATGTGGTATGGCAACATGAACTGATGTACTTACGTACGAAGTTCTGCGTTGCATCTGACTGACTGACACTTCAAGAACCTAGTAAATGAGCTAACTTATTATTCACGTATAACTTTCACCTGTGCTAGTGAGTTCACGGGAAGTTCTTCCTGGTTTCCTGAACAACAGCCCTGGAATACGTGTTAAAACTTTTAATATCCGATCTTCATGTCAAATCGGAAAGAAGTCTTCCTTATCTTGGACTGTAGAATCTGGCACTATTAATGTATCTTGTTTCCCACAAATGCATATAAGATCGAAGTGAAATCACTGACCTAATCTCGTCTTATCGGCATAAAGATTCAGAGAAATTCACCCTCCGTTTTTCTGAGGACTTAGCTACTGATTCTGGTGGCTTCGTTGGTATAAGGGCATCAAAGTCACTAGTTCAACATGATCTTCTGGAGTGGATTTCATTCATTAGACAGTAGATTGTACTATGTGTAACTAGACGAGATGGTAAGAACAAAGGACGCTAGGGATGTTTGATGTTATCTGTTCGTCATCTTTGCCTATACTTTTACGGAATACATTTCGATTGTAGTAAAAGTTGATTCTTACCGAAAGCCTACCGTTTTCAAAGAGCCTAACGCTCAAACACAATCGTAACAGAATATTTCAATACTCGATCGGGTATTTGAAACTTATGTAACAGAGACTTAAATGGATATTGCAGTATCTCATTTCGGCAAACACACAACAGCAATGTCTGCAGCAGCTATGCTCCGACAGTGGTTTATTTTTTTAGTAGACATTAGCTTTCGGCATAAGGTGTGGCGTCTTAAGACTAGCCAATATCACGTGCTGAAGTTACCAACTTTGTCTACTATGTGTCTAGTCTTTTATAACCTAATGTCCCAAACTCGACCAACTATACACCTGACCAGTGCCGTTTAATTTGATCCGACACAGCCAGGCTACTACTAATCCCCTATTCACAAGCTTTTTATTGCCCTGCCTTGACTCTGAAAAGTCGGTAGCCAACTTGTACTACTACTGTATTTCGAAAATGCGTTGACTTATATTCAATCATGCTAAACTGCATCTCACTCTGAAATGATGAGTTACAATTGTACGTGACCGAGCCAAATATGGCTGTGAACAGAGTAACGTGATAAGAATTGATTTACAAACTAGGAATAATAGGGAGTATACCGATAGTTTATGGGCTAAATGGGCGCTTACGATAACGAGAATTATACGTACATAACAATTCAGTTACTTATTCGGAAATCGGTTTCAACTTTCATAATACTTCTGTTGTTATAACGTAGGGAAAGACATCATCTGATAAGTTGACCCCTATGGTCCAAACAACAACTAACTGAAATTGACCTCACTACCATTGATCATCAAAAAGAGGGTTCAGTGGAGGATTGTCGCTCATTTTGAAGCACATATTTGATTCCTTATGATTGTATTGTTACCAACTGTGAGTAAAAACAACTTGAACAGGGAATCGACACAAGTCCTCTCCATTTAGTCAACTTAAGATCAAAATAGTTTGCAGCGATAGAGAGCAACAAGCTCCTGTGGATAATCCGACTAACGTTTAAAAATAAAACTCTGGTACCAGCAACTGAATTATCTCGATGTATGAAGCTGGATCTGACGGTTGTTCAAGAAGTTTTGTGGCATTGTTTGCGATTGGAAGGCGTACTCAACAAGTATACTGACACTACAAATTCATCGTCTGAACATAACTGGCCGAGTAGGAGCTAGTGGAGAATCGTCAGTAGAATTAATGCTCTCAGTTAGCGATCGTCCAGATTATCTGTTTTTCCTATTTTTACTTAGCTTTGTTATAGGGTATCCCTTCATGATCTGACTTTTCAGGGGTTGACCTTCTACCAGGAGATTCGCCTGTTGACCTAGAATATATAGTTGATATAGTCCTGTCTGATAAAAACGCTGACAAAACGTAGTCTTCTGATCATCTCAAGCAACAATGCAAGCATGTTTGGGACACAATTCGCTGCATCAGAGTGCGAAGTTACGGCTTCTGAACTGACGTTCGTCAGCTTTCGAGTTAATGATAGGTATTTAAGTAGTTAGGTTCACTGACAACACTTATCCTAGAAGTCTAATTTGCTGTGGTTGGTTGGCGTCTGACGAAATCACCAACCCAGAGAGTCCTATCGGTGTTTGCTGATTTGTGTCATTGGTGTGAGCTAGATGTCTGTTTTCCAACTAAAGGGTGTATATACTTCTAACAGTCCTATCTGTTCTACTTTGTGTGTGTGAAACATAGCCATCAACAAATTAGAATATTCAGAAGTTACTAGTATTCAATTATAAATCTCTTCGAAACATCGTTTGTTCATCATGGAACAACTGATTCAGTAATGTCGAGGCTAACTATGGCGTATTAGATAGAAATGGCGAAGTGATTGATGAATTAGTAGGCTTTTATCGACTGAGTTATCTAGGTTATGCATTATTTATGTCTAATCACCGCTTAATTTGATGAACGTTGCTTGCAAGCACAGAAGCGAGTTATGAGAAAACTGGAGGCGGACCAGTTCATACAGTTGACTACTGGACTGAGTCATATAGGTAGACGCCGACTTCCTAGTTGGGGTCGGTGAATTAAACTTCCGTCCCTAAACTTTATACTACTCCGTCATTCGTCTTGATGATTTCGTCTGTCTTTGCTAATTTAGTGTATTACTTTGAACTAACGTTCATTTGCGTCCGTCTCTATGTTAATTATGACTAACCACAGTGAAATTTTTTTCATAATTATATTTATATTCGGAGTTTCTTTGATATTTGCATGAGATTTAGCTTTTAATTTGTTGCGAGTAGTTGATTATCATTAAAACCCACTGGAACTCATTCGAATAGCATTCACATTATGTCTTTTCTGCCGATAGAGTATATTGAGTGTGCATAACATTCTGTATTTCCATACACATTGTTTACCTAAAGTAAGCAGGAGCAAAGAAATGAACAGAATAACATAAATTCATTTGTTGCGTTATGTTCTTATTAGCCACTCATAACCCGTAGTGTTTTTCAAAAGCAAAATTACGAAATAGGTTGACAGTACTAAAATCGATGAATTTAGTTAGAAGCTTTGATGTGTGGTCTTTAAAGTGAAATGTGATTGACCGTTGAACAAAGACAGACATTGAGCTCACCGATATACAAATTCCTTTTCGTCATTAATGTCTATTCTAGGTATACTATATGTTGAGTAAATCTATTGTCTAACCTGTACACTGGTTCTCTAAAATCAATCGCGTATGTATATGGTATAACGTGATGAAAGTCTGTGATTAGCGCACCAATCGAGTACCCAGTTCTGTTGTAACATAATTTTGTAACTGGTCTTATGATCACATAATGTTAGTAAATCACGACAAACAAAGGAAAACTACATTGTTTACGTCATATCATGTTTAATGCGAACGCATATCGACACAGTATAGCAAAGATCTAAATAAAAAGGGTTCTAATAAAATAGAGAAAATATATTTCAAATCCAAAGAAACTCTGAACTATCGATAGTAAGAAAAGACAAAAACAGCTAGAAATAAATGGTTAAGTAGCGCAAAACACTAATGACAAGTAAGATTGAATTTCGATTCTACATTTTTACTTTCGTGATCGTGTAAGCAAATACTATAATGATACCATCACTATATTTTAAACACCATAAGATGGCGCTAACTTGTAGTTCTTTAGTGAACTCAGTATGTGGATAATGTAAATATTTACTTGCCAACTACCATTCGATTTATTCATTAACAAGTCTCATCTTTGGCTTAGTTTGTATTACTTCGTATACTCATGTAGGTTCGAACGCTTGGTTAATTTAATTTTGATTACAATTATGCATTTGTTTTGCTTCAAATTTTCACGAATTCTCCCACTCAGTCATAACTCAGGGTTTCTTGTTTCGTTACAGTCGAACGCCCTTGTCTGTTGTCCCTCAGTATGATGTCTCTGATCCGGAATCTATTGGTAAGTAGTTTTGGCTTTTAATATAATTTTGTAGGACCTAGAAATCCTTCGCTGCCAAGAGATACATCTCAGAGGCAGTTTGATGTACCTGAACAGAATCAAGTAATAGATAGTTTCAATCGTGTTTCACATACTTTATCGTGTGAAACATTTTCTGGTGACTCAACAAAACAGTCCCCTGATTCTCTGCATCCTACTAATGATCTAACCTGTAAAGACGAATGTTTAATTGGGCACTCAGTTGTCAGTAGAATTATTAGTAATGATGAAGCATTTGTACCTCAACCAAAGAAAGTTAAAGCTAAGAAAGAGAAAAAGCATAAGAAGCATAAACACAAGCATTCTGATAAAAGGTAATTATTAATTATTCATTTCGTTACATGATAATAATTTAGGGCTTGTATTCAGATCGTTGACAATTCAACTGATCAACTATTCGTAAATCCAGGTGACATTATATCTTGTGCTAATATTGAGGCTTCTGATAAGAAGCATGCAAAAAAGCACAAGAAGCATAAGAAACATAAACATGGAAATAAAGAAGACACAAAACAAGTTACCTCAGATGTGAATTCATCGGTACAATCTATCAGTCTTGATAATATTAATGTAAATGAGCTTAGTTGATCAACTCTTCCAGTTGTTTCCATGTACATAAGTTTTTTGAAGAATATGTATATAATGTTTAGATTATAACGATCAACTTTACGAATTTACTGTACTTCATGATTTTAAATAAATTATTTTTTAATTATAAATAAAGTGCTTTTTAAAAATAGAAAGTTATTCTTTGATAATTTTGTTTCGTGTAGCATGATTTTAAATGTGAACAACTGACGAAAAGCGTCTATCGGTAATATTGGTTGTATTCTAGGGTTTACCACAATGGATTTCGGATTTAAAATTCTATCATAGATGAATTAATTTATCCAGCACATATTTGGATATAAAGACTTATAACACTGTTCACTACACTATCAATTACGCGGATTTGTGCTTCGTAAATGACTTTTTTATCAATGACTGTATATTTTGGTTTGAAAACATGCTAGTATAAATAATTCATGTTACAATAAACAGCGAAGTTTATTGTACTGTTTTAAGGTGATGATAACCAGTGTAGTTGTCATTTTTAGAAAAAAACCGCTAATAGAAATATTAATAACTGTTGGTCTGGTCATAATACACATTTTAACAATAGCGGATTTGCAGGTACACATCTTATGAATTGAGGAACTATGTTAATATTATTATGGACAACCATTTAGCGCCTACTCTTCATTTAATAAATACAAAACTCATCCAATTAAGTTATAAATTACAATTAAATATGACTTCAAAACTAAGAACACACTAATAGTTGTTGAATATATTTGGAATTTACCAATGTAGTATATAAGAGAGTTTTTAGTTAAGTTTGGATATGAAATCCAGTACAAATACTATAAAAGTTAAAATTGGAATAGGCGTTATTTATAAACGATAAGCTAATTGGAAACTTTAATGTCAAATAGATTTCGCCTTTAATATCGGGTTCGAGTTCCAGAAAAGCACTAACTATACTTAAAAAAAAGTGAATGTATATGACTGTAGGTAGGATTTGAATGGACTGAATATACGATTCTCCATAAATTGCTAACTCCACGTCATATGATATAATGATTTATTTTGCAGCGTTTCAGTTAAATAACTTAGGGGTTACTGGCATTTGAAGTATTTGTGTATCTAGTCGATTTCTGGAGAATATTGTTTTATTCCTGTAAAATACATTCTGGTATTAGCTAACAATGAAATTCAGACGAATTCGCCTACACTTTTGTGAGTGTTTCACTTAAATGACTGAAACCAAACATTCAACATTGAATCACTAAGTTTGAACATGTGAAATGTGAAGTGGGGTTCTGAATCATCAAAAAAAATCCTCTAAATAATAGACTTTTTTTAATGGATAAACATTTGTAATTAGTAATAACCACATGAAACAACTTATATACTAACAAAGATTATCAAGTTGTTACAGTATGCTATAAACAAGTTTACTAGCACTCTATAAAGGTATTATAATTATTTATATTAAAGTTTTTTTTTGGACATTTACAGTTTTAAAAGTGAATAGAGCCTTTATTATTATTTCTGTTTTAAATACTTAAACAATTCATATTATTGGATTTAATCCATTGACACAACTTTTCACAGTCGATAAACCAATTTTTCTTAATCTAATATCAATTATTGTTAAAATGTAACTAACTGTTGATCTTTGATTATTAACTGTCGTTTGTGATTTTTAAAATAAAAAAATATCATAAACAGATTGAATTCGTTTGAGGTTACTGATTAGTAATGACATAAAGATCTTAAGGTGAGAGTTTTAGTAAGTACATAAAAAGTATTTTCTAATCATTCTTTCCAATAAAAGTCTTAGTAATTTTAATATACGCTTTATTAGAACTATTAATTTGTAAGACATAAGCTGGCATGGATTTGAATCGCTGTTGAAACTTCAGTTAGCCTCATGTGTATAGATTGGGCTTGTTGACAAATACAAAATCTACGTTCATGATTTCCTACTAATTACCTCTAAATACTGTCTACTATCAACGATATTTCTTTTTCTATGTGAAGTTAGCGTGGTTGTATAGACCACATATTCACACTACGACAGGTCCTGGAACACAGACACACATTTAGACGTCCGACAATAGTCGTGTTCCTAGACCTGAAAGCGGTATTTGACTCAGTGGATCGTGAGGTTCTGTGGCGGTGTCTGTCATTGAAAGTTGTACCAAAGAAGTACATTAACCTCATACAAGCTCCTCTACTCAAACACCACTGGTCGGGTGAGAGCATATGGCGAACTGTCATCTGAATTCTCTACATCAAGTGGTGTCCGTCAGGACTGTCCACTCTCTCCATTCTTGTTTAACTTTGTTGTAGATATCCTCTTAGAGTTAGCATTAAGCTCGTCAGATATTTCGGGGGTTGACCTTCTACCAGGAAAGTCGCTTACTGATCTAGAATATGCCGATGACAGTTCTATTCGGTGAAGACGCTGACAAAATGCAGAGTCTTCTGACTACCCTAAGCAACAATGCAAGGATGTTCGGGATGCGGTTTTCCCCCTCGAAATGCAAAATGTTGCTTCAAGACTGGGTTGCATTGGCACCTGAACTAGTGATAAGGAGTGAAGTAGTCGAACGTGTTGATCACTTCACTTATCTAGGGAGTCTCATCAGTGCTAATGGCCTGGTGACTGACGAAATCTCAGCTCGGATACAGGAGGCTCGATTGGCTTTTGCCAACCTGCGTCACTTATGGCGTAGGCGTGATATACGTTCACTAACCAAAGGACGGGTGTACTGCGCAGCATTTCGTTCCGTTCTCTTATATGGCTGCGAAACATGGCCGTTAAGAGTAGAAGATGTTCGTAGATTACTAGTATTTGATGATATATGTTTAAGAAGCATTCCTCGTATATCGTGGGACAGCCGAGTAAGCAATGCTGTCGTTAGGAAACTAGTACTAAGTAAGGATGGCAGATCAATCGATGAAGTGGTGAAACTTCATCAGTTGAGGTGGTTGTGACATGTGTTACGTATGGCTAACCACCGACTGCCTCGACGAGCTATGTTTTGTGGTGTAGGAGTAGGGTGGAAGAAAGGGGCGGCCAGACCAAAACATGGCAGAAATCCATGAAGTCATTGACTAGTGGACTGAGTCATGTTGGTAGATGTAGACTACCTGGTTGGGGTCCGCGAGACGAAAGTCATCAATGGTTAGAGACCTTGAGCGACATGGCTCAAAATCGTTTGCGATGGCGCAGGTGCATCCACTCATTGAGCTCTCTCAAATCCTAATCTGCTGGATTCGTCAGCACTTCTACCTTTGTCTTTCTAACCTTTATTAACATTAATACCTCTACTATCTTTATCACTATGGGATTTGATTTGACATTTGCGTCTCTGTGCTAATAATGTGGTATGGCAACATGAACTTATGTACATACGTACGAAGTTCTACGTTGCAACTGACTGATGTGAAGTTAGATAAGGTTGTTACATATAGTCACATCCGATGCCTATGCTAATTCGAGGCTAAAAGTTAGGTGAATATTGCTAATCAATAAAATCTAGCCGTTTACATTTTACTCAGTAATCGGAAGTATGTATTTATATATATTCTTAGTTTTCGCACTTGAACAAAAGGTTTTGTTTTCCTAACGGAGATGTGCGTATTAGCGTCAGAATCGAACAACAGAACAGGAATCAAGGTGAATTGTGTAGTTAGGCCTATAAACTGGATTTGATAATTACACTTTAATTTCAAAGAGCCTACACAATTCTTATCCTACAATTTACTTACATTTTAAAAGAGTTTTAATCGCATCTATTTTTATTTGAAATATACTGTATATTACTAATTTTCTCTTTATATACAAAGGCTTTATTTACTGCCCAGTTTTTATATTTTTGAGATCTGTGTTTGGTGACTTAACTGCAATAATTAGAATTTTGTATCGTATTCAGATCAGGTCAGATCGATCATTCAGTTCACAGCGACTCAAACATGTGGTATATTTTTTTTACGTGTTAGTCAAGTAGCTGTAAAGTAGTTCAATATTACACAACGTAAATACAAGAAGTCGAACTGTGACTTTATTTCTAGTATGTACATTTAGTTGAATTAGATAGCGTTGTTCACTCTATAAGTTGTCAGTATCTGTATTGATCATCCATAGTTCAGTAATCGGAACAATGATGATCATAATCACTATTAATATTATTATTTCTATCGTTTATTATTATTATTATTATTATTGGTTATATATTTTCTTTACTTCTAGTATCATTTAACAAATAATGTACTAGTGCTTATACATAAAATTCTAGCAATAATGCTTTGTAAAGTGAAATTCGAACTCAACCATTGATTAATTCATTCTTTTCACAGAATTCCATAAATAAAATTGGATTATTTTCCTAATTCTAGTGACATCCATGAAGCAGTTTTACTATACTATTCTATAGATTTCTTAAAGTGTTTATCAGTAGATTTTGTTTTTACACTCTCTAACCTTCCATTCATATCTCGTTCAATTATTACGCAATGTTATAGGCTTAAAGAGATCTGATATTGAAAAACTTAGGAAACACTAATCTTGTTTTCTTCAAAAAAAAATCCAGTTTGTTGCGATAGTGGGGAAAATTTGTAGCTTGGGTGGATGACTGTGATGGAGTTTCGTTCCCTGAGATGGATATTTTGGTTGTGGAGTTTCCATTCTTTTTCTGAACAACATCAGCACAAACTTCATATAGAAGTGAAGTATTCGAATTTCTCCATGTTTGATCTGTAGCTTGTTCTGCTAACCTCGATCTTGATTAGTTTCTGTTGACGAAGAAAAACACTCTTCCAAAAGAATGGCTATCCACACAACTTCATCAAAAAATATCAACTGAAATCGTCAACAGAAGCAAAATCAAGTACAAAAACCAATAAACGGATCATCCCACCATACATAAAAGACATATCGGAGCATACGGCATGACTACTGAAACCATTTGGAATAGGTGTAGCACACAAACCAACAGAATCACTTCAATCAATCCTATGTAGACCAAAGGACAAAATGACAAGAAAAAAACCAAATATCATTGCTCAGACTGTGAAAAACACTACATAGGACAAAGTGGACGTCCTCTTCAGCTTCGTTTACGTGAACACCAATTAGCAGTCAAACACCACGGTAATTCTTCACTTATATCAATACATACGGAAAACTCTGGACAAACATTCGATCAGAACAATGTTGAAATATTGGTTAGAGGGAGTACAAAGAACACTAGAGAATTTTTAGAAACTTGACACTCAAGTCATACAGCAATCAAAAAACATCGACATTGACCCAACTTATCAACCAATCAGGAAAATCATAGGTGATATAGGATGAAGAAACAGATCAAAAAGGGGATACAATCAAAACAAATGTGCAAACAACAACAGGTTTAGAGTCAATAGCAACCAATCAAGATTGAAGTTAACAGAACAAGCTACAGATTAAACGTGGAAAAATTCGAATACTTCACTTTGTCTATCTGAAGTTTGTGCTGATGATGTTGTTCAGCAGAAGAACAATGAAATCTCCACAACCAAAACATGTAGCTCAGAGAACGAAACACCAGTTTGTTGCATTACATTGATTAGATTTCCGTTTTTATTGTTCAACATCTGTATTGTATTCACTTTTGAACATTTAGTATACCGCATGAAGAATGTACCTTTTTGTTTGTTTGACTTGATTATTGATTGGATTATTATTAGCTTTACTTTTCCCTTGAATGCTATTCTTTTTATGTTGGTTGGCCTCTCAATATTTTCAGAATGCAGAAAACAACAATTTATCTTGTGAAAATTCATTCATGACTCTTAATTTTACACTTTTTAAATGAAAGATAGATCAGGAGTATTTGAGCGACAAACTGTTACTTAAATATTACAGACATTCAGGTGTTTGTAGTCTGTTTAGTCAGTTAATCACAAGCCATATAAGACCTGGGATATATTTGTGTCGATTTAAATTGCCGCACAATATGAAATAAAGTTGGACCAGCATATTTTTAGTAATTTCTGTTGGAAAGAATTTTATATAAAAATAAATTTAATAAAATTATCTTGTCTAAAGTGTTCATCAAAGCGACATAATGTAAGAGAACACAAAATAGATTATTTGCCAATAACTAAATGTATCATTTTAATAATATTAGTATTACTTAGATGTTTTTTCTTGTCATAAGTAACACATCTAAGATTATCTACACAATCAAAGTAATTGATTCAAAGAAAGTTTGGATTGATAATTTGTCCTCAGTTGAAACCATGATAATTCAGCTGCTGATCTCTGTGTGCAGACAACGTTTTCTCTTGTGTAAAGTGAACAGTTGCCTTTCACATATCTTTGATTCGTTATTCATTGAGTAAACGGAATATATTCATTAAGATATAAAGTAAAAAAAAGATTGGTTCAGTGAAAAGAGGATATAGAGGTGAAGCAAATGGCTGAGAGAAGAAAAATACAACTTATTTTAACGAAAGATTCAGACTATGCTAGCAGATGTAGTTGTACCATTCTTTTCTGTACACCTGATTCTGAATCTTTCAGGTGTAAAGCAAATGCTTTGGCAATTAATGAGAAGACGGCAGCTAATTGCCTTAGGCAGCTTTTTAAATTATTTTATCGATTACTTTTAGCACAGAATCCTTTTTGATCGAATGGCCTGTGTTTAGACGGTACTCGATAATCGACCCGTTTTCGTCCTCTTTCAGCTATGCCAGATAATATTCTCGAACGAACCGAGCTCCACATGTTCAGGTAACTGATAAACACAAGTGCAATTAGTCAAATACGATAACTGGCTCTTTAGATTATTATTGAACATTAGTCTGCTCAAGAAAACTGGTCTCAAAATTACTTCAAAGAACGCACTGTCCAGTTAGAAAATTGCTATTTTTTTGCAACTGGAAGTTTTCAATACTTGTTTCAAGTTAAATGTATAAAATCGTAAACGATTTTAAAACTTTGAAAATGAATTCACCGAAAGACGAACTGTTTACTGAACCTATCGTTTCTGTGCTATTTAGTATTTGCCAGCAAGATGTTGTGAATATTATTAAAGTTCGTCAAAATCCTAAACCGGTCAATGTTATATCATTGTTAAAAACCTGACTACTGGATGGCTGTTTTTACTCCTAGTATGAATCTCTTCACGAACCCGCTGGTGGTGATCTTGATTAGAACCTTCTGTCCCACGAGGAGTCGCTTTACCTTCAGACCACTGAACCATCATCTAATTGTAGTCATGTTTAACTGTGATCGGTTCACAACATTGCACGACCACCTTCCATTGTCTTTGGTAAGTAACTGCCTCACATGCGAAATGGTTGAACTCCAATGATCATTGTTTCTCACTAGAACTCTGAAGATTTCCTCTTGAAGCTAGTCACTAATAAACAGATGATAATTGTAAGGTTGTTATATTTCATCGAAACCATGAACTGATCTAAGTTAGACTACCAATATTGTTTGTGATTACCTCTAATACTATTTCATCAATAATTTCTTTTAAATGTTTTGTTAATTATTGCAACATTACTTTGTTTTTTGACAAATATTCGTATTAAAAACTTGAAAACGTTTGACTATGTTTGGTGATTTCATTTTACTATATATCATTCTGCTATTTTATTGCACACTTGTGCATATAAAATTACCCATAAATACGATAGTTCACCTTCAAAATATGAGTCTAAACAAATTATCTTCCTCTAGAAAGTCAAACAGTCTTTATTTTGATAGAACAGAACTCAGATCACTAATTTTTGTGAGAAGCGAACTTTAAATTACGTTGAAACTTAATTGTACCACTGTAAAATAACAACACTATTTGTGCTCTCTGTTAACTTGAAATCTTACTAAAAATCTTTCATGTTCAATTAGTCAATCATAAGGAATGTGGAACCTAGAACATCGGTTCAAGTTGCCATAAATACAGGCAGAAGAAAATGTCAATATGAATCTCAGGGTAGAAGGTGCCGTAACAGTATTCGTGGTAACAGAAAAGATTTATGTATTGAAGATACGATCCTAGTAGAAAACTTGGGCTTTAAAGAAAGATAACAAGTAGATGCGTCTGTTTCATTGAGAACAACTCAATATTTCTAACCACGGGTTTACTGTAAGTGAGTGAACTCGAACCAAGTCGTTTTTATCTATCAGCATGACTAATAGTGAATATCTTCATCGATTGATATCATGTATTGGCTTGGTAGTTCCAAAATTTCCTCTAATCTACTCCCATACCAGCCATTATCACGCACCGAGGTAGCCGACGAATAGTTATAAGTAATGCATATCCTAAGCATCTCAGTTAACTAATTCAAATCCTACTGGGATTGCGGTTCTTCCTATTTTCTAGTGGTTGTAAAATCACAGTCACTCTATGGTGTAATCAAGTTTTAATATACATGTGAATATAGAACAATGATATTAGTTAGATATTGATTGAAGTGTAATGTGATTTCCGCTCATGAGTAGTTATTCATTAGAGTGGTAATTTTTTTTTCTAATGTTTATTATTCTTCAATTCACATGATATTGTATTAATAGAACTAAGTAAATTGATACAATGAACAGAACAAAAATGAAAAGCATTAGAATGGATAGAAAGATGAAGGATTTCTTGCAACAAATCCATTTACCTCACTAAGATTCATTGAATTCGGAAAAAAGCATGTATAGCGCGATAATAAGTAACTGTTTAATGTGGTATGGGACTCATCAGCAATGTGTATCCATGACTCATTGGTCCAAAGGCTACGTGTTCGTGCACAAGACCGAAGGAACTCGGTTCTAATCTTACGAGGTGCAGGAGTCGTGAATCCATTTACCTCACTAAGATTCATTGATGTCAAAAAAAGCATGTGGAACACGATAATAAGTAACTGTTTTGTTATTTTTTCTAATCCAACATTATCAATCTCTTCTGTGTTATTTTGGGGCAGAGTTTTGGAGGTTTGTGTTTTTACACATTTGAAATCATCAATCAATCATTGTTAGACCACCATTAGAAACCTGGAAGCACTGGACGGCCGTTTCGTCCTGGTATGGGACTCATCAGCAGTGCGCATCCACGACTCCTGCACCTCGCAGGATTCGAACCCAGGACCTTCGGTATTGTGCACGAACGCCTAACCATCGGACCACTGGGCCGGCATCCAACGGTGTTAATGTCTAACTCTGATTGATCTAGGGATTTCGCGCGACCTCACCCATTTGTCTTTGGTAGTTACTGCCTACACCCGACAGGGTTGAACTCCATTGGTCACGTCTTCTCAACTAGAACTCCGAGAATTTCCCACCAAGCTAGTAGTTACTAGTGAGCACTGTTACGATATTTTGGGGCAGAGTTTTGGAGGTTTGCCTTTTTTACACATTTGAAATCATCAATCTTCTGTGTTAGTAACTTTTATACATTAGATATTAATTATTTGAGAAAATTTGACAAGTTTTTTTTTAGAAAACTTATACGTGTAAACATGAAAAGTACAACAGAATTTCAAACCAATCAAAATGAAAATTATTCTTTACTTAAAACTTGTAAATTCTATAAGTGAACTAATTTATTTAATTCACGAGAAAGGAAGATTAACTAAATCAAATATTATTTCGTATTATCGATTTCAGTTTTTATTCACTAATTTTCACAATCAACTTTTAATCAAGCAGAATGGGCGGCCAGACCAAAACATGGCAGAAATCCATGAAGTCATTGACAAGTGGACTGAGTCATGTAGGTAGTTGTCGACTACCTGGTTGGGGTCCACGAGATCATAATAATCGATGGTTAGAGACCTTGAATGATATGGCTCAATATCGTTCGCAATGGCGCCGGTGCATTTATGCTTTGTATTCTTTCAAATCCTAATCTTCTGGATTCTCCAACAACTCTAGTTTTGACTTTCTAAACTTTTCTCACTGAATTATACTTCTTGAATAATATCTTCTAATCCTAACCTTTCCGATTACTTATAATACCTTTACTACCTCTTCTACTATTGGATTTGAATTGACAATTATATCTCTGTGCTGATAAGGTACGACAACATGAACTGATGCACTTACGTACGAAGTTCTACGTTGCATTTGACTGACTGACTGAATCAAGCAGAATTCATTATTGAATGTTTAAGTATTATTAATTCTTATGAGATTATAAAATTTATGGATTACAGTCTAATTTGTAAGATAAATCATTTTTAAATTTAAATTTTAATGTGCTTATTTATTTATGAAAGTGAATCAATAATACTGACCTAATGATTTGCAACAGATGTTGTCTACAATGACAATAACTGTTCCACAACTATCGAGTTCAGAGAGAAGAACATAACACCAAATCAACAGTTGGAATATGAGGGTATCACATCTTTTAAGTTTCAATTTTAAACATTATGTATATATACAGTGATATTATAGCTTGACTAACGCATAGAAATCAAATTAATTTGTGTATGTAGATTCTGAAGTTTCAAAGATTTGCCTGAATTTATTTATCAGTATCCACCAATGAAACTATCAGGCTCTATATCTCACTAGGTTCTCTAATAAACCAAGAGAAACATTTGTGCAGTACATTTTCATTTTTAACGGTTCTTCAGTTGAGTATTAGTAATATTCAGTGATACATTAAACCGGGTTAACATGTTAGTGTTGGGGATGTTAGGTCCCCGAAACTCTCTTGTTAAATGCCTTATTTTGGATTTCACGTTTGCCAACATGGGCTGATCAGTTGACCTTGAGATTTCATTTCCCACCAGGAAAATCCATGGCTGTGATTGGCTGCTGTGTATTTTAGCGTGCTATTTTCCTAACTGTCCCAAGGACGTTTCTATGATGTATAAATAAACGAGAGTTGTGTGCTTGATTGTATTGTGATTGCTGGGTGTTTGTAGAATATACTTTCTACGCTTACAAAGCCTTTTTTCTTCAGCTGGTGATTCAAGGTAGCCTATCTGGACGCTGGTAATTGTCTCGTTCTTGTTTATCGACTAAGGTGAACTCGTAATAGCTTCAAGCATACTTAGTGACGAACTTAACAGTTAGTAGTTTTGTTCTTTTTTTTCAAACTAAAGTTTGTGACTTAAACTGCATATTATGATTAATTTCAATTCTTATTTACTTTAATAACAGTTTTGCCGCCAAAATATACTTACGAGAATAATTTAGACTATATAATTGTCATTTTTAACGAACTGTGTTTCAATGTATTATTAATATCAATGTAGTTGAATTATTAGGTTGTTAGTGTGATTGATATACGATAACAAGTAAATAAGTATCATGCATTAAGGAACAGTGTCTAAATGAATGTTATTTAGAAACGAGATTCAGCGCAATATTTACTGATATGGCTAACAAAACAAACAGTCCAATACTTCATGACAGTAATTTCAGTTCTGAACAGATAGATAACAACTTCATCATTTGTCATAATCAGTGACTAATATGCAAAAAAGTAGACCTGAAATATTAATATATAGTTCAAATTCATATAACAAATACGTGACCATTAAGTTTTAAAGTAGAAATAAAAAGGATCATAATTGTGATGTTTGTGAAAAATTATAATTAAGTGACTCATACGCTGTGAACTTTATCCTGTTCACAATGCCATTGGCTTCATGTGTACTTACAGTTTATTCTTTCTTTTTATTATGCCATGATCGATTTGTAGAGTAGATTTTTTTTGACCAGTTCCAGGTACTTTTAATACGTACACTAAATACAAACACTGCACTAATTCAATGTAACAAGAATAAATAAAATGGAATTGAAAAGTTATTATTCAACTAATGGAAGTCAATCAGTGATTATAGTTAATGAATGTTATGATTGAAGAACCCGTCTGTTTTATCTGACTCATCATGTTCCTCAATATGCAGATGACCTTTGAGTAACTGATGCGAAATAAAGAGAGGAAGATATATAATTTGTCATCGAGTATGGACAGACAGACATAGCCTACTGTCTGTTAAATGTGTTTTCATTTCCTCTTATTGATTTCTACTCTGGACACATTGAATGGAATAAAATGTTGTGTATTGCTTATTACAGGTTCTCTATTTTGGTCATGAATGAATAGTGTATCTGGTATAATTTAATCTAGTCTCTGTGAGGTGTACTGTTCGAGTATCCGATTCAGTGGATAAAGAGCTATCCAATACACCTGCTTATCAGTAACCAATATGCAACAGGGACGGAGGAGAACATTGCTACTCTATGCTAGAGGAGCAGCCGAATACTAACCTGACTCAGCTGAAAAGGAAGAATAAAAACAATGACCACCAGTCCAAATCTTGTTACTATAATATTTCAAACATTTCTTTATGTATGTACAAAACCAGACCACATCGCATTAATAAATGGAAATCAACAATCATACATCAGTCGGACGCAGATATAAGCGAACAATATTGTTTTCGATCAGATCGTCATCAAGCTTAACGCTAATATACATGAATACTTATATGAAAATGTTAAATCAATCAAGGCAATTTGAGTCAATAATCACAATGAAATGAAATAGATTATTACGTCACTACATATAATAGGCAAAAGTACAAGTTGATCAT